TAAATCATCTTTCATTCTAGGAAGATTAACCTAGGGAATAATCATCAAACTGTTTAGGATAATCAAAGCCATGTTGATGCTTTATATTAAAGAATTTTTACCTTTTTGCTATTTTGCCTATTTATATTTATTTATTTATGTATTTTTTTAAAGATTTATTTATTTTTATACAAGTATTGGGGTACAGACCAGAGATGCACGGGAGGGGGGGGGTGAGAGGATTCACCAGAGACAGAGTGGGGAATAGAACAGATGGATTGACCGAAATACACTGCTGAGGGGAGCAGCGGGCGAGACAGGAGAGATCTGTCCCACCATGTGGGTTTCTCTCTGGCTGGCCGGGAATCGAACTTGTGCTGCAGTGCTGCGGATTTCTTCATAGGTTGTGTCTTAACCCATGCGCCACCAGGGAGGCCTATTTATGTATTTTTTAAGATTGATTTATTTATGCATACAAGAGCTGGGGTACAGGCCAGAGATGTGGGGGGTGAGAGGATTCACCAGAGACAGAGTGGGGAACAGAACAGGCAGACTGATTGAAATACACTGCTGAGGAGAGCAGTGGACAAGTCAGGAGAGGTCATTGCCCCTTGTGGGTTGCTCCCTGGCCAGCCGGAAATCGAACATGTGCTGCAGAGACTGCAGATTGCTTCATAGTGCGGTGCTTTACCCCTTGCGCCACCAGGAAGACCCTATTTATATTTAATAAAATTTGATCCACTAGAATATGAGATCCATTTTTCAGTCTGCTTTCAATTGTGTAATTAAGTTATTTAGGCTTTTGATTCAAAACTGAAATCTTAGTTTGGAGAAAATAGCAGACATTTAAGAAAACTAAGGTTGATTATATTTGTGACTTGCATTATTTGTATCATATAGGTTATTTTTGAGAACTTGAGGAGTTTTAGTTTGTTAAATTAGAAAATGGGAGTAACTAAGTGTGCAGATAGGATTTAATACAGTAGGTCTGAGACTGCGGTCCTCAGAAAGGCCTGCTGTCAAGATTGGTCTTTGGTTGGCATCTGGAAGTCACTTCACAGAGTATTATTACCAGTTAAAAGTTACTTTATAAAGGCCCACCAGGCAAACAATATGGCTTCTGTTTAATGCTTCTACATACCTTTTAGGAGTGTGGAAATTTGGTGAATGCTAAGTAGGAACCAACCCTGATAAAAACCTTGAAATCTTTGTCTCTAGTGGACTTTTCCTGGATCAAAATATTATATTCATGTTGTTGAAATTTCTTTGCTGGGAGAAGAATGTGATATGTGTCACTCTGTGGGAGGAAGAGCACTGAAGGAACCTTGAAGCTGCCATGCTCTGCCTGTGTCTTCCCCTTGTGTTCCAGCTGTGCAACTATATTGTTATAATAAATTTTAACTATGGCTAGAACTCTATGCTGAGTTTTTTAAACCTTTCCAGTGAATCACTGCATGTGGGGGTAGTATAGGAAATCCCAGACACCCTAAAGAAATTGAATATTTTTCTTCCACATACAGCTTGCAGTATGATCAAACATAATTGAATGATCTTTTAGAAATAAATAATAAAATTTGCTAGACTTAGAAACAGTGCAGTAACATTTACAAACTGAATTTATAGTGTTAAGCAAAACTTTAACCTTGGCTTGGTAACTTTAATCATCAAATATTAATTTCTAAGTCCCAAGCAAATTTTGGTTAGGCTTATTAACCCTCAAAAATATTCCTCAAGTGGATCAAAAGAACTCAAATTTAATATATCTCAGTCTACAGCAGGTTGCTTGCCCTCCTAGACTTAGTGACTGTGGGCATTTGTTCAAATCAAACACAGTTCATTATCACTAAGAGTTCAGTTAACAAGAAGGATCCTAGGATCCAGCTCTGTTTATACTACGTGATAAATAGACCATATCACATCACCTTATAGGGGCTGCTTCTGCTGATTTTAGATTGTGTTCCTGTAAAAGCATCTATAGATAGGGCGTCCATTTAGAGCTGGTAACTCTAAAACGCTAGAGACTTAGGAAAAATTTAATAAAAATTAGCCTTTTAGGAAGTATGATCAAAACAAGGGCGGCAGGAATTTTACAGGGACTGTAACCAAGATGAAGATGCATACATTGTACAAAAATGAAAAATTATGTCAAAAATATATACAATAAAAAAATGGAAAGTAAAAAAAAAATAACCTTTTAATATTCACTAATGCCCTTGACAGATTTCTTTGTTGGATAAGTTAAGAGTATGGCAGAGATCTCTAGTACAGCAGTCACGCCTAAAACCTACCTATGATACATTTTTTCAAAAGATTTGTTTATTTATGCATATAAGAGCTGGGGTGTAGGCCAGAGGTGTGGACGGGTGAAAGGATTCACCAGAGACAGAGTGGGGAGCAGAACAGGCAGATCGACTGAGATACACTGCTGAGGGGAGCAGCGGGCGAGGCAGGAGAGGTCTGCTGTGCCATGTGGGTTATCTCCTTGCCTGGGGATTGAACTTGTGCTGCAGTGGCTGCTAATAGTCTCATAGTGCTGAGACTCAACCCCTTGTACCACCAGGGAATGATGCATTTAAAACAAAAGAAAACATTTCCTTGATTCTGTTTTCAGTGCTTTTCCAAGAGCTCTTTGTCTCCTCCAGCAAAGGACACGAAAACATTGATTCAAAAGAACACCTGTACACCTATGTTTATTGCAGCACTATATGCAATAGGTAAAACCTGGAAACAACCCAAATGCCCAAAAATAGATGACTGGATCAAGAAGATGTGGTACATATACACAGTGGACTATTATTCAGCAATCAAAAAAGATAAACTCTCGTGCCATTCCAGCAACATGGATGAAACTAGAAGGAATTATGCTCAGTGAAATAAACCAGAAGGAAAAAGAAAAATATCGCATGGTTTCACTTATAGCAGGAGTATAGGGAAACCAAATAAGACATCAGAGTAAAAAATAATAACAGTACAAAACACAACAAAGCAAAAACAGACAATTATAAATCAGAGACATCTTGCAGGGGAGGAGGAGGGAGAGGGATCAGAGGGAGGGAGGGAGGAGCACAGGGGACTGAGGTGATGGTGCAGGGGTGCCTTGGTGAAGGAAACTCTATGGGGACTACACCTGAGGGGGTGGGGGGAAGCAAATATTCTTAAAAAAATGAACAATGATGTAAAAAAATAAATAAAATGAAAAACAAAGCAAAACAAAACAAAACATTGCTTTGAGAACTAGCATAGTGCCTAGCACTTAGTAAACCTAATACATATTTGTTGAATGACTGCTGGAACTAATGATTCAGTTGAGAGAATAAGATGTAAATATTTCAAAGTGAAGTGATAATATGAGGTGGTTTGAGAAAAACAGTACATAATAAGTTGCCAAATGAATGAAAGGGAAACTAAGTGTTAAGAGCTCAGGGGAAACCATTGTAGCCTGGATGGTTTAAGAGAAAGTTGTTCTTAAAAAGTCTCGGTCTTAAAAAAAAATATGTTGGAATTGAAAATGTGAGAGTAGGGAAAGGCAAGAGAAGCAAGAGTGTGAGCAAAGGGATGGAAGTGAGAAAATAAGCATGATTTGAAATGCATGTTGACCCTCTAGCATTGCAGCCTGCTGTCTGACAGAAGAACAGGAAAAGGTCTCTTAGGACCAGGTTTTCAGGTTCAAGACCTAACATTTTTAGTAGGAAGATGAATGTGAAAGGTTTTTCAGTAGCAATGAGATGAAGAACTTGTTGGTTCTAAATGAAGATTATACTGGAGACAGGATGTAGGATGGTTTAAGTTAGACTAGAGTAAGTTTCGTTGGCAGAGAATAGTCAAAAGACAGCCCAGATATAAAGTAATAAGGGGCTAAACTAAGCTAAGGTCAAAGGTTATGGACAGAGACAGATAGCTTAAACATTGTGATGGAAGAAGTGATGGGACTGGTGACCACTTATGGAGGAAGGATAAGAGTGGTCATAGCAGTGAAAGAGGAAGGTACATTTTCAGAATGAAGTATGCACCTTGTAAGTTGTTTATATTTTTAATTTTTTTTTAAATTTACTGAATGAGTAGGAATAAGTTTTAACATAGCAAGGTCATGTAAGGAGAAAAGTTTAGATCCCTATGTTTGAAGAGAGAAAAGGACTTTTGCAAATTAAGGCATAATGGGAACATATACCCTAGTAGCAAAGTGGTAAAATGAGGTTTTTATCCCCACTAAAGTAGGAAATAAACCTGTCTTGCAAGGGCCAATTACACAGTCTAGAATAAAAAGAGAAAGGTGCAATCATAATGTTATAATGAAAAGTCACTTCAATTTAAAAAATTAAAGAATGGAAAAAAAAAGAGCAAGGTGGGCCAGGACCCCACTGCCTTCCCTCTACCAGGCAGCTGGAAGGGCAGGGGAAATCCTGTTCTATTGATATTTTGAAAAACCAGTTGTGCTTGTTATTTAGTTCTTTATTATTCAATATTACCAAGCAATAAAGCCAGGACAGCTACAGAATTTCTCTAAATTTGAAAAATTATGAGCTTTTTGAGTTTGTTTTTGCCTTCTGCTAAAGTTATACCACACCTTTTACTGTTTCCATTGTTTTATAATAAAATAGATACAAAACTATATAATATCTATCTGACTTTTTCTTGAAGGAAACCAACTCTAATACTAAGTAAATTGACATTAGTATGTATTGTAAGAAAGGTCTCAAAAAAAAGAAGGTCTCAATTTTGATTGGAGAAACTGCACAGAAAGTTCAGCTGCTAGTACTGCTGCCCTAATGCTGCTTATCTGTGAACTCTAGGCTGGATTTGAGGAGGACATCTGGAGGGTGTCTTAAAAAAATAACTGCTAAACTGACCTGAAGGAGGAAGGTTAGCCAAGGAAAGGATATAGGAGAATGATAACAAAGAGAGGGAATTGATTGTAGAGGGAAATCAAGTGATAATGTTACCCTGGGTTCTGCTGACTGTCACTATGAAAAAGCCAAAAAGCAGAGACAGGAGTTGAATCTAAAAATGCTCTTATTTTTCAGATCACCGTCCATTAATCTGCAAGAATGGAGGGACCATTTGGCTATCTCATCTTGAACTGACTGTTTTATAGTGAGTTTAACAAAAACAGTCACAAGTGAATTGGTTTATGGAACAGCCCATCATAGCTGAATTGGTTTGTCAGGACAACCTGTCATAGCTGATGGTCTTGGTGTTCATCCTGTTCAGCCTTCAGAGTTTATTAGCTTCCCAATTATCTTGACCGTGGTACATCTTGGCTTGCTTGGCTAATTTCTCATGGTGTCAGTGTCCAACACTCATTGAGACATCATTGAGGCAGGAATCTCAGTTCAAAAGAAAACATTTAGGGCCTTCCTTGTGGCACAGGGGTTAAAGTCTCAGCGCTCTCAAGCTATTGCCAACTGCTGCAGCATGAGTTTGATCCCTGGCCAGGGAGCTACCCACATGGCACAGCAGACCTCTCCTATCTCACCCGCTGCTCCCCTCAGCAGTGTATTTCAGTCAGTCTGCCTGTTCTGTTCCCTGCTCTGTCTCTGGTGACTCCTCTCACCTCCGCACCTCTGGCCTGTACTCCAGTTCCTGTATGCATAAATAAATAAAAATAAATAAATATTAAAAAATAACAAGAGTTTTAGATTGAAGAAAACCGATCATTAGTATATATTGTGTACAAGCAGCCTGTGCTCTGTGTGTATGTGCAGATTCCTGTGCTAGGCCTGGTGGTGCCCTTCCGTTCCTCCATAGAAGTATGTCAGTATGTATAACTAAAAATGATTCAAAGAGTTTGAGGCATAGAGCTAAAGGTCAACCCACACAGGTAAGTGGAAACAGCTTCCAAGTGCTAACTCGTTAATAGGACTTGACTTCATGGGAAGAACCATTAAAGTGAAACAACTCATTAACATTCCTGTTGTCAAATGAACTCAGCAAAGAGGCTGCTAACTGAGGTAGTTCCAATGACATGCAGCCTAGATAAGCAAACCCAAATCAGAGACTGTAAATGCCTCACACACAGTCAAGTAGGCTTTATAAAGAGAAAGTGGGAAAACAAAGAAGGAAATTATTTCATTGATTATGGATTGGAATCTTGGCTGTACCCAATATGCTTGGGGAATAAGCAGCCCTTAGTTTGTGAGTATAACACGCATGTGGATGAATTAGTACGTTGCTGGCATCTCTGGAAGTCTCTTCAACTAGAATTGCCCAAGATACAGCTTTGGTAGGTATACTTCAGGAAAAAGGACAGGATGTTAAGTTCTCTGCCAGTTGAAGTCAAAGGAAACAGGACTTTAGGAATTTGGGGGCAACTTCCTAATGTGCCCCTGCTGGTAGACGTGCTGCAAGAAAGGGTGAATAGCTCCTGGCCAAGAAAGCAAAGCCAAAACAAAGAATTGGCAGTACTTTTAAGAAATTGTGTAGCATTGTTCAGAGCAACCCGACCTTCCTTTTTGTGCAATTCACAAACATATTTTGTATTTAACTGATAAAAACTATAATATGACCTGTATTTCAAGCCCATTTCCATGCAGAACGCACGCTCAAACTAGGAAGTCAGTTATTACTATAAATGCCCTACTTCCCATAACTAGAGACTTCAAAACAATCACCTAATCCTTCTCTTATTGAGAGAATAACAGATCCCCTTTCACTGAAAGTAGTCAAAGTCCCCTATTTTTTCAAAGCACTGCCAACTATCTCCCTTTCTTTATAGACGACAGAACAAATACAATAAAGTGGAACTTTCTAGATCTGCCAAGTGAGGCCCACTGATCCAGAACCTAAATTCCAAACCTGAAGGTGTGCAAGACTTTTACACACATGGCAACTAGGTGAGCAACTTTATGCCCATTTGTTAGTTATTGACCATCCACAGCAAAGCCATTCTCTGTGCCCAAATGGTACACTGAGCAAATATAATCAATATTTACTGACTGTTATTCTTGCAACAGGGTATTGTCTTATTCAAGTTCTTTCCAGATGGAGCATGTTAGCTTTTTTAGTTGAAACAGTCTTTTCCTACTTGAAGAGAACTAGAGAGAAAGAATTTTGCCTACTGATTAAAAGTGAATAATTCTATCTAGAGGTTTACCTTCTCTTTCAACCTTTGGTTCAGCTGCTGCTACTTTAAGATTATCTGGTACAGAAAATAATAGAATCTCTGTGTAATCTGTGAAAATTAATCTTGTGCCACTGGGCTCAAAATGGATCACAATTTTATTTTGACATCATTGTTAACATTTAGTTGCTCTTTTCTTTCTCAAGTGTAAAGAAAACCTAGCTTTTAGGTATAGCTTTCAAGTTGTTTTGGAGTGCCAATATTGGAACACTCTAATGAAGTCATTTTGAAGAATTAACCCTACCTACAAGTGCTAACTGTGATTTTCTTAGGAAACCGGTCAGATTGCCCAGTTATCTGCATCATGGATGCCAGTTGCTAGGATCTGATTGTCATTAACAGTTTATAAAACCAAAAAAAGTACAGGCGAGTACTTCCTTTCTCTGGTTTTCCCATCTTTTTACCTCCTCCTCAATTCCATCCCACATTCTGTTCTCACCTCTCCATTTACTGCATAACCTGTAACACAATCTTTTGACTCACCCTCAGTGTTTTTATTGCCTGTGAATGTGATCTTGTTCTATTTGTTCTTTGCTGAACACCAGTTTCATTAAAGTTACATTTAAATGGAAACCGACCTTCGTAGGGTTGGGAATTTGGATGGGAATAGAACAGAGAAGGGGAACTAAGGAGTGTTTTTGGTTACTAAACTATTGAAACACATTCATGTACAAATATAATCTCTTAAATTTGTTGGTAAGTCATGAAGACATTTTCCTGTTAGTACCATCAGGACAGCCCATTGGCAGCTGTTGTTGATAAAACTTTTTGAGCTAAACATGATAGTACTATATCTGTGTTCATGCTATGTTTTTGCTTCTACGATCTGTTTTCAAACTGCTAAATTTTAAAGCGTCTGAGGAGCCTTTATAAGCCCCAAAGTCCACTGTTTCTTAACCTTAATGTGCCTATGAATCACCTGAAGATGTTGATAGAAATGCAGATTTTGACGTGGATCTGGGATAGAACACAAGACTCTGCATATCTACCCTACTCCCAGGTTAAATGTGCTGTGTCTCACTCTTCCTTGAGAAGCAAGGGGGAGATTAGATAAAAGGTGTATTGGTAGATCAAACTCAGGTCCCTATCACAGCCAACTGGGGAACTTGTTGAAAACAAAGACCCAAACCCATTCTTGTGTTAAGGAACGGGCTTCTATGTTTCTTGCTGGCTTCCAGGCGATTCTGGTGTACGTCAAGACGAAAGGGCCACTGGGCTAAACTATGGATCCTCCCCGTCTAATCAGTCTGCCCTGCCCATTGCGGCTTTCTTGTCTCTCTTATTTCCTTTTCTGTATCTTTTGAAATCCTAGAATACACATACAGAAAAGAAGTGAACAAATTAAAAGAATGGAGTCTTAATGTAGTCTAATACTCGGTGTACAGAAAAAAAAAAAATGGAGAAGTCTGAATAGTCTGTATGACAGATATTTCCTACCTTGCAACTCAGCCCAGGGTTTTGGGACTAATATGAGGATGGCTGACATTTCATTCACAAAGATCTCACTTTGTCACATTGTGCAATAATCTTTACGTCCTTCAGTTTTCATAGCCTTGCACCTCCTCAACCTGAACCATGAATATGTTATTTCTGCACATTTTAAGATGATTCCGCTTAAACTATAACAGTGCCACCAACTAGCATTATTTAAATATGTCAAAAGAGATTATCCTATTGTCATAATATCCCATGTTCTACCCTATTTTAGACCCCATACTTGTGAAATATTAAGAAACTCTATTTCCCCTCATTCTCTGGGCATAATGGATTTTATAAACTGTGCTGATTTCTTTTTTTTTTAATAGTAATAGTAATCACTATCATTTATTGTGTACTTACCAAATACTGGACACTTGTCTAAATTCTAACATGGCTTGTTTTGTCCTCCCAGTAATGTAGGTAATATATGTCTCTTTTTTTGCCAAACGAGGAAACCGAGCATTTGGTGACGGTGACCAACTCAGAGGGAGGAGACCTGGGATGTAGAGCAGGGCATGCGTAGCTGCTTGATTACTATGTAAAACAGCTCCTCGTGTTGGTGTCTACGAGTACGTGTCTCTTCAAGAAATGATTATACACTTTCTCTTTTAACAGATTTTTTGGAGCAGTTTTAGGTTCACAGCAACATTGACAGAGAGTTCCCACGTACCCTCTACCCCCACACAGGCAAAGCTTCCTCCATCATCACTGTGCATACATCTTCAGAGGGGTACATTTCTTAGTATTTGATAAACATACTTGGACACATTGCCATCCATAGCACATAGTTTACTTGAAGTGAACTCACTCTTGGTGCTGCACTTTCTATGGATTTTAACAAATGTATAATGATGGAGCCACCATTATGGTATCGTGTAGAACAGTCACACTGCCCTGAATTCCTCTGAGCTTCAACTATTCATCCTCTCCTTGCTTCCTCACATCCTCCTTCCTGGAAACTACTGATTTTTCAACTGTGTGATTTTATTTTCCCGAAAGTCATGTCGGCAGAATCATAGTGTATGTGGCTTGTCCACATTGACTTCTTTCCTTTGGTAATATGAATTAGGTTTCCTTCATTTCGTCTCATGGCTTGATAACTCATTTTTTTTTTTAAACTGACTAGGGTTGCAATGTTTGGAAGTGTCACTGTTTATTCATTCACCTACTAATAAACACCTACTGATGGACAATGTGGCTTTGTAGTTCATTTCTTTTTAGTACTAATATCCCATTGTCTGAATGTCCCACCATCTGCTTATCCATTCACCTACTGAAGGACACCTGGTTATTTCCAAATTTTGGCAATTATGCGTAAAGCTACTGTAAGCATCCATGTTCAGGTTTTTGTGAGGAGTTAAGTTTTTGACTCACTTGGGCAAATACTGAGAAATGCGATTCTGGATTTGGTGGTAAAATATTTCAGTTTTATCAGAAACTGCCATATTGTCTTCTAAAGTGACTATACCAATGTGCATCCCCACCAGCAATGTGTGAGACTTCCTGCTGCTCTGTATCTGGCCCAGCATTTGATGACATCAGCGTTTTGGGTTGGGGCCTAATAGGTATGTAGTGGTTTCTTCTTTTTTGGGAAAACCTGACATGGTGACTATTGAGTCCTCCTGTTCCTAAATATGGAATATCTCTCCATTTATTTGGTTATTCTTAGATCTCTTTCATCAGCATTTAGTCGTTTTCCTCATACAGATCTTGCTCATAGTTTGGTAGATTTATATCTAATTATTTCACTTTTGAGGAATTTTAATGTATATGGTATTGTCTTTTCATTTCAAATTCCACCTAATTATTTCTGTTACAAAGGAAAGCAGATGACTTTTCCAGATTAGCCTTGTGTTAAGACATTTTGATGATAATAATCTCATGTTGGTTCCAGGAATTTTTGTTGTTGGCTCTTTAGGATTTTCTACATAGAAAATCATGTAAACTGCAAACAACGATAGTTTTATTTCTTCCTTTACATTGAGATGACTTTTCTTTCTTTCTTTTTTCCCCCTTGCTTTAGTGTATTGCTAGGATATCCAATATGAAGCTGAAAAGGAGTGGTGAGGAAGGGCATACTTGTCTTGCTCCTGATCTTAGTGGGAAAAGCTTCTAGTTTCCCTCCACAGTACAGTGTTAGCCACAAGCACTTTGTGGGTGCTTTTCATCAAGTTGAATGAGTTCCCCTCTTTCCCTATCTTACTGAGAGTTATTAAAAATATTTTACTTATTTATTTTTTATATCCTTGTGTATTTTTTCACAGTATAGGATTTCTCCCTTTAGGTGTGGTCACCATAGTTTTTCCACCACCAAAGCACCCATAGTCCACTGTGCTCTCCTTCCCTCATGCTTTCTACTTGACTCCTCTTCTTTCTCCCATGTTTACATTTTTTTAAAAATATTTTATGTATTTATTTTTACATAGAAGAACTGGGGTATAGGTTAGAGTTGTGGGGGTGAGAGGATTCACCAGAGACAGAGTGGAGGACAGAACAGGCACATCTATTGAAATACACTGCTGAGGGGAGCAGTAGGTGAGACGGGAAAGGTTTGTTACACACTGTGGGTTAGCTCCTTGGCTGGGGATCGAACTCAGGCCTCAGTGGGCCAGGTGGGTGGTAGCCTGAGACTTAACCTCTAGCTACCAGGGAGGCCCATATGTTTACTTTTTTTTTTTAATTTAAATTTTATTTTTATATTCCCCATACAATTACAACCCCCTTATTTTGACCCCAATCCCTCCTTTCCCTGCCCCCCACCCCCCCATAGAGTGTCTCTGGTTCATAGTTGTTTGTTGATTTTGATATTTTTTTTCTTATAGTTATTCTTTTTCCTGGTCCCTTATTTTTCCTGGTCCCTTATTTCTAGATTCCTGCTATGAGTAAGACCATCCGGTATTTTTCTTCTTCTTTCTGGCTTATTTCGCTGAGCATGATCCCTTCCAGCGCCATCCATGTTGCTGCAAATTGCATGTGTTTATCTTTTTTGAATGCTGAGTAATATTCCATGGTGTATATGTACCACATCTTCTTGATCCAGTCATCTATTTTTGGGCATTTGGGTTGTTTCCAAAGCTTAGCTATTGTAAACAGTGCTGCTATAAACATATGTTTACATTTTTAAGAAAGTACAAATTTGCAAAATGATAGTATGGCTTTATATTCCCATGTGTGATGTTAAAAATTCTAGTTACCCCCAATCTTGCAAACATTTGTTATTACTTTTTAATCTTA